TCTAGCCCAACACATGGAAATAAAAGAAAAAGAAGGTTGGGGGAGCGGAGACTTGAAATCACCTAGGCAGAAAATAGAAGAGTGTTACGGAGAGAAGCTAAACACACATAGTTGTAGACAGGAGGAGTAGGCTAGAGAGCTCTGTGGTACAGGGTGACTGTAACTGATAACAACAATGGCTAGCTTTTGTTCTGTTTTTGAGACATAGTCTCACTATGTAGACCAGGCTGGCTCTAGATTCACAGGGGTATCTATATGCCGCTACATTCAAGGTGCTGGAATTAAAAGCATGCACCACCACACACACGGATTGTTTATTATTTTGGTTTTTGTTTTTCTGAGACAGGGTCTCCTTTGTATTGCTTTATGGCCCGGAGCTTGCTGTGCAGACCAGACTGGTACACTTGCTTTGATTCTCCCGCCTCCTACTGCTCCTCTGAGTACTTGGATTGCAGGCCTTAATGACCACCCCTGGCTAGTTCTGACATTTTTTAATTTTATATTATTGGATCTATTTTACTTTTTAAAATGTGCTGTGTTTTCTCTGTGTCTGTGTGTGTGCCACATATGTGCCTATGGATGGTTGTGAGGCATCACGTGGGTGCTGGGAACTGAACCCTGGGCCTCTGCAAGAACAGAAAGTGCTCTTAACTGCTGAGCCACCTCGCCAGCCCCTAGCCTTAAACTGTTTAAAAGAGATTTTAAATGTTCTCAGCACACACACACTGTATGGGGATGGAGAGATGGCTTAGCAGTACCTGGGTTCCATTCCTAGCACCAACATGGCAGCTCAATAAGCATCTGTGACTTATTCAGGAGATCCAATGCCCTCTTCTGGCCTCCCTGAACACTGGGCATCTATAGGCAGAGTTTTCCTATCCTGACCACCTGCTCTCAAATAACCAACATGAAGACTTACTGTTACTTATAAATGCTTGGCCAATAGCTTAGGCTTATTACTAACTAGCTTTTACAACTTAACCCATTTCTATTAATTTATGTGCTGCCCTAAGACTTGTGGTTTTTACCTTTGTCTCATTTTGTGTGTCTGACTCATTCTTCAAGTAGCTGATGACTTCTCTGCCTCCACCCTTCTTCATTCCAACATTCTGGCTGTGTCTGGCTGTCTCGCCCAATCACTTCCTGCAGATATTGGCCAATCAGCTTTTTATTAACAATGAGAGCAATGCATATTTACAGTGTACAAAATAATTATTCCACAGCAGGCATACACATGCTGCACTTATATATATGCAAGCAAAACACTCGAACGTAGCATGTGTTTTTATATATATCCCAGAAAACACACAAGGACACTCTTAAAGCTGAAAAGAAAGTCTTTGTTATGAGCCAGAGTCTGAATGGTAAATTTGACCAAATTACACAGCCCCAAGATCTTTGTCTTCTGTTTGTTTTGGTTTTGGTTTTTTTCAGGACAGGCTTTCTCTGTGTGTCCCTGGTTGTCCTAGAACTAGTTCTGTAGAACAGGATGGCCTTAAACTCAAAGTAAACTCTGCCTGCCTCTGTCTCCTGAGTGATGGGATTAAAAGCATAGTACCACCACAACCCAGCCAGATCATTTTCTTTTATGCATAAAATACACCCTGGCTGATACACTTCAGTTAGCGAGAACAGCAAGAAGCACTTTTACAGAAGTGAAAAAGCACTTAGTACGTGTAGGGACTTTCCTGGATCCTCAACTATGGACTCGGGTTTTGATGGGTTAGGTCTTTGTCTTTCTTCCTATTTTGGCAGGTGTTAGGGGCCTCTGTGCTGTAAGGTCAGAAGAATGCTTTCAACATGGTGTCAGTTGTGCTAAGGGCTGGGGTCCTATTGCATATATATTGTATTAGTCAGGGTACAGAACCGATAGAATGAATATATAAAGAGGATTATTAAAGTGGGTCACAGGCTGTGGTCCAGCTATTCCAACAATGGCTGTCTGACAATGGAAAGTCCAATAATCCAGTAGTTGGTCAGTGCATGAGGCTGGATGTCTTAGCTGGTCTTCAGTCTACACCAGAATCCTAAAGAAATAGACTCTAATGCCAGTGAAGGAATGGGCTTGCAGCAAGCGGGTAAGCAGACAGAGCTCTTGAAGGGACGCTAGCCAGTTTGACCATGGCAAACATGGCTCTGGCAGACCTTGCCCTCCCCCATTCCCTCTGCCTTGCTTAAAAACTGTTAGATTACATTCCTAAAGCTAGCCACAAAGATCTATTCCTTTAGCCACTTCCTCCTCCTGAGTCTGACTACCAAGGTCCAGCTATCAAAGTATTGAAATCCAGCAATCAGAAGTCCCCTTTGGCTACCGTAATTAATATGTCCAATTAAAATTAAACACCTCATCTTAACATGAGTTTTTTAATTTTATAAACTGCCACTTGCCTATTGTCCCTCCGAGACAAATACCCTTCACCCTTTCCCTTGTCCCCCATCTCCTTTTCCACCACATCCTAGCCCATTCTATCACAGACCTCCCCTTTTGCTCTTCTGAAAAATTACATCTGCGTGAGCAGTGGTGGTGCGCGCATTTAATACCAGCACTTGAGGCAGAGGCAGGCGGATCTCTGTGAGTTTGAGGTCAGCCTGGTCTACAGAGTGAGTTCCAGGACAATGAAGGTTGCTAAACATAAAAGCCCAGTCTCAAAAAAAAATACATCTGCAAGGTTATTTGCTGCTATTTCTGCCTGAGTCAGAAAGCAACCACTTTAACTTTTCTTCCCTGCTTAATAAAGAATATCTCTGTGAAAATGTGTGTTTGGATGTGGTGTGTGCCTAATCAGGGGTCCAGGAGGAAGTCCCTGCTGTGCAGGGGTCCCCTTCAGCATGTCCTTCTTCTACTTACTTGTATATAGGCTGTCAGCAGAAGGTGTGGCCCAGATTAATGATCTGGTTTAAAGGTGGATCTTCCCACTTTAAATGATTTGATTAAGAGAATAATTCCTCACAGGTGTGCCCAGTTGGGTTTTAGTTAATTCTAGATGGAATCAAGTTGATGACCAAAAAACTGTCGCTCAGTACTAAGGCAGGAAGACGCAGGAGAGTCACAAGCTTCAGGCCAGACCCTGTCCCGAGCAGCAGCAGAGGGTCCGCTCCCTGGATACACGGCGGAAAGAGCAAACCCACATTGCCCTCTCACTCCACTTGCTCACCACAGCACACAAATAAATGTAATCTCTGAAACACTGCCAAAGAAAACAGAAGTCCCAGCACATTTATGATCCCAGTAGCTGAGAAGTAAGATTGTTAGGTGTGGCGGTGCATACCCTTAGTCCCAGTGCTTGGGAGGCAGAGGCAGGTGTTTCTCCCTGAATTCAAAGTCAGCCTGCTCTACAGAGTGAGTTCAAGGACAGCCAAGGCTACACAGTGAGACCCTGTCTCCGAATAAAAAACAGTTTGTCTTCTGCTACATAGCAAGTTCGAGGCCACCATGACCTCCATAAAACCCCATCACCAACAAAACAAGCCACGGTGGTGGCACACGCTTGAAGTCCCAGTTCTCTGAATGCTGAGGCAGAGAGGTCTACACAGCAAACCTGAGGTTAATCAGACTCACTTAGCATGGCCCTTCTGCCCTCAAACCCACACAAAAACAGGAGCTTTGGACCTGAGCTTTGGCTCAGCAGGCAAAGGCGCTGGTCTACACATCTGGTCACATCCTGTGACTCCTGGGAACCCTAAGGTTGGAAGAAGAGACACGTCTCCTGCAAGGTGTCATCTGACTTCCACATGTGTGCTCTGGCCCGTGTGCACACACACTCACATACACAGCTAAATTATTTTAATGTAATTTTTTAAAGATATATTTATTTATTACATATACATGTTCTGCTTGCATGTATACTTGCAGGCCAGAAGAGGGCACCAGATCTCATTACAGATGGTTGTGAGCCACTATGTGGTTGCTGGGAATTGAACTCAGGACTTCTGGAACAGCAGTCAGTGCTTTTAACCTCTGAGTCATCTCTCCAGCCCTTTAATGTAATTTTTAAGAGTTAACCTTTCTTCTATTTATTTATTTAGAGACAAGGTCTCTTTACATAGTCCTGGCTGTCCTGGACGACACTATGTAAACCAGGCTGACCTTGAATTCAGAGATCCTCCTGCTTCTGTCTCTGGAGTGCTGGGTGTTGTGCCCAGATCACGACCCCCAGAGAGAGAACACCAGAGAGGCCCAGACTGTAATAAGCAAGGTTTAATCAGCATAATACAAACATGTTTGGAACTCATCTCCATTCCCGTTACAACAAGGTAGAGAGGAGTTGTATCTCCTCTGTGGGGTAAGCTTTTAAAGGCATAACTACAAAGAGAATCTTTGAAGATGCTTTGGCATGGGTACAAGGACTTTTGCTCCCTCACATTCTGTTAAGTAAGCTTTTTCCTTGTTTTTAGAGCAAGGCCACTGTTCTTGAGTTAGGACATCTTTATCAGCCTGTACCAGGTGGCTGGCTGGGCTGAGCTAAGTGACCTTGTGCTCAGAATATCCTGGGTGGGAAAGGGGAAGGCCATTATCTTCCTGGGAAAACATTCGGCTAGGAAATTTCTTCTTGCCCCTTTGAGAATAATGGGTGAGGGTCTCACACTGGGTAAATGTAATTTCCTTTTTATTTGTTTGTTTGTTTTGTTTTGTGTTTTTGAGGTAGGGTTTCTCTATTGCTTGGAGCTTGTCCTGGAACTCACTCTGGAGACCAGGTTGGCCTCAAACTCACAAAGATCTGCCTGCCTCTGCTTCCCGAGTGCTGGATGAAAGGCTTGCACTACAATCACCCGGCTTTAAATGGAATTTCTTAATTTGAAAAAAAATACAGTAATTAAGACTTCAAATTCCACAAAGCTAAAGTCAATGCCCACAAAGCCGGAAGTCGACCCTCAAACACAATGCTGGGCTTTAGGCAAGGTGTGAGCGGGTGTGAGACCGGAAGTATGCCAGAGCCGTAAGGCCTGAATACGCTTACGTCTCGCCGACTCGACCAATCAGAAGAAAGCGAGGCGGCGTCGGGCGGAAATACCGTTTACAAACAGGAAGTGTGCGGGGGCTTCGCGAGCGGCGGGCGAGCCCCATGGAGGCGTACGAGCAGGTCCAGAAGGGCCCCCTGAAGCTGAAAGGCGTCGCGGAGCTCGGCGTGACGAAGCGGTGAGGCCGGGGAGCCCGCGGTCTGTCCCCGAGGGCCGACCCCCGGCTCAGGCCACTTACCGGCCCCTTCTCCCCCAGGAAGAAGAAGAAAAAGGACAAAGACAAGGCCAAGCTGCTGGAGGCTATGGGGACGAGTAAGAAGAGCGAGGAGGAGAAGAGGCGCTGCCTGGACAAGCGCACGCCGGCGCAGGCGGCTTTCGAAAAGATGCAGGAGAAACGGGTGAGGCGGGCGGCCCCCGGAGTCGCCGTGTAGCCCAGGCCTTCCCCAACTTCCCGTGGAGCCCAGGCCTTCCCCAACTCCCAGTGGAGCCCAGGCCTTCCCCCATCTCTCCCTGTAGCCTGGGCTTGTTGCCCTGCCTAACTTAGCCTTCCTGTGTACCAGGATGACAGGCAAATGTCACCACTTTACGTCTGCTCTTAACCACGTTCATTGCTCTTAGGATACCACAAAGTCTGCTTCCGTAACAACTTGCTTTCTAGCTTCAAATGGGCTTTGTAGTTGTTTGGAGGTGGGGAGGTGGCCTTGAACTCCTGCCTCAGCTGGTTCCTGAAAGGAGTGCTGTAGCCCACGAGGCCACACTAGTTATTTTGGGTGTTTCTGCTTTATTTTGTTTTTGAGGCACCATTTGTCTGTGTAGCCCAGGCTGGCCTCAAACTCATCCTTTAGACGAGGATGACTTCAGACGTGTGATCTTCCTGCTTGTTGGGATGACAGCACCCAACACCCTGTCTTCTTTAAACATTAGAAATCGTGAGGGAGAGGAGAGGCCAGTAAGACAGGCTCAGCCTGCTAGGCTTAGATGGAAAAGAAGCCTAGGTGTGTGGCTCCTGTTTTGCCATGTAGGATTCCCCGGGACCCAGTGCATGGCTCAGCCCAGCCATACCCTGCCAGGTCTGTGGTTCTTCTCTGAAGACAGTCCCTCTCTCCTCAGATGAGGCTCTGAAGGTGTTTGGACTCCCCCTGTAGCACAGAGTGAGAAGAGACCAGGGCCACTGGTACACTTACTTCTACCGAGAAAGAGATGGTTTTCTCCCATGTATCAGTCTGAGACTGAGCATCACCAGCCTGGAGTCCTGTGCACTGGCTCTGAGCAAAATACACACATCACTCGGGTCTAATTTCCATGTGCATGGGGGCTGGCAGGGCAGGCCTGGGGCTGGCACTGTCTGCCGATTCTTAGAGGAATAGCTTATTTCCATCCACTTAGAAAATGGCTGAAGTCACTCTTGCGGGGCAGTGGTGAGAACTGAGGGTGAGCAGCTGGTGCAACCAAGGGTGATGGTGATAACGATGGTTGGCCTGGGGAGGAAGGAAGGATGGCTAGTTAGATCCACTGTGGGGACGAAGGCAGTGGTGGGATGGGGAATGGAAAGCATCTTGGAGCCAGGAGTGGTGGACGTTGTGAGTTCCAGGCCAGTCTAGGCTGCAGGATGAGACCCTTTGTTCAAAAAGCAAAAGCAGTGACTCTTTGGAGGATATGTGTGCACTCCTCTCAGATACATCTACCTCAGACATCATTAATCAATCACCACATTCTTTGTAATAAAATCCAGTTATACCACCACATTTTTTTAAGACTTATTTATTGTTACCAGTGTACTAGAGTACAATAGTATATTTGTGGAGGTCGGAGGACAACTTGTGGGAAGCAGTTCACTCTTTCTTTGTGTGGGTCCCAGAATCAAACTCAGGTTGTCCGGTTTGGCGGCCAGCAACTTTACCCACTGAGCCATCTCACCAGCCACGATCTGCTTCTTATTCTTCAGCCCGAGACTGTGTATTCAGAACTGGGTCCTCATTCAGTATTTTGGCCTGAGGACAAGAAGTAGGGGATAGGAGCAGGACAGACGCCGCACAGACAGACACGGGTGAGATGGGGTAGGAGGGATGCTGAACAGGTCTAGAAGAGTCTCTAAGCCATGAAGAAGGAACAAAAAAGGACGGGCTGGGTGGTGATGCCCACACCTTTAATCACAGCACTCTGGAGGCAGAAGCAGATGAAGCTCAATGAGATCGAGGCCAGCCTGATCTACAGAGCAAGTTTCAGGACAGCCAGGGCTACACAGAGAAACCTTGTCTCAAAAAACCAAAATAAACAAAAAAACAGAAGAGGACTGGCCCTCAGGGCAAGGAGCTTGTATTCAAATTGTAGCCTGTTCTGTTTGCAGGGAAGAGAGGTGACTGTGATGAGAGGTGAGGTGAGGGCAGGACGTGGACCTAGGCGATGGCAATTTAGACAATTTAGAGTAGTTGGTTCTCCCTCCCACCATGTAGGTCCCAGGGATTGAACTCAAGGCGCCTTTGCTGTCTAAGCCATTTTTTGGCCCTTGTCCTCATGTTTGAAATGGGATCCTCTGATCCCTGCTTCAGGCTTCCCAGTATACCTACCACACCCAGAATAGGTCTTTCTTTTCTGTTTTTGAAAATAACCTGAAGTATTTGGACTTCTGGGGTGCAGTGTTATAATGTGATACCCATGTGCTGGGCAAACCCAGGAAGGCATCGTCTCCATCTAGTGAAGGGCTTTGATTATGTATTGACTCCTCCAGCTGACCCACAGTTTCTGAGATGTGTGGTAATCCACAAGTTGTGGTCACTCCACTGTGCCGTGAGACTTAGCACACCCTGCCCCTTTGCTGTCTGGCTAGCCCCATCCTCTCTCTCTCCTAGCCAGTAGTGTTCTCTGATCTAGCCTGTACTTGAGTGGAGTCACTGTGTAGCATCTACAACTGAATGGTGACATGGGCTGGCTGGCGATGGTCTTGTGGCCTCCTGAGCTCCCTAACTGACATCTTAACACAAGCTAGGATCGTAGAAGGAGAGTCTCGGGGAAGGACTGTCTTGATTTGCACTGGGATGGGAAGACCTGCCATCCTTGCCCATCATGCACAGCACCAATCTCTGGTGTGAGACTTTTGTATTTATGTGTACAGTGTTTTGCTTGTCTGTATGTATGTGGTGTCATGCTGCCAGAGGAGACTGAAAAGGGTGTAGGATTCCTGAATCTGGACTTGGAGAAAATTGCGAGTCGCCGTGTTGATGCTGACTCTGAAAGAGAGCGGGTGCTCTTCACCACTGAACCGCAGCTCTTTGCACCAGGGTTTGAGTTTTGAACTGTAAGAGCAGAGAAAACTGAGCATGAAGCTTGCTCCTATCCATTTCTCTATGCGCTTGCCTGACTTGTGGCCCTAAGACTGCCTTCCCTTCCCCCCCATGGTGGCCTGTGACCTGAAATAGCAAGCCAAATAACTTTGTCCCCCAAGTTTACTTTTTTGCCTGGGTATTTTGTTTTGGTAACAGGAATGAAAAGTAGGACACTGAACATTCATTTGGGTCCTGTCCCCTCAGCTCCTCCTCCCTAGGCCCTCTCGCTCCATGTTCTCTGCTTCTTCATTTCCTTCCTTCCAAACCAGGGTTTCACCATGGCCCAAGGCAAAACAAAGCCAGTGTCAAACTTCTGGCAGGATCTGCCCATAATGGATGCTGGGATTGCAGGGAGACTAAACAGAGGCTCCCTCCTGAGTGAGGTGGCAGGAGAGAGACAGCTATAGACTGTGTTGGGCATGGGGACTCATCCGTCTCTTCTCTCTCCAGCAAATGGAAAGAATCCTGAAGAAGGCGTCCAAAACCCATAAGCAAAGAGTGGAGGTGAGCCCTGCACCTGTGGGGAGCCTGAGCCATGGGGGAGCCCAGAACCCAGGGCAGTGCAGCTTGGATTGTTGAAGCATACCCTCAGGCATGGTGCCTCCCTAGGCTCATTTGGGGTGATTTGAGACCTGTGGTGGAGTGTGTGAGACGGGCTGGGCACAGATGGGGGCACTGCCTACCTGGTTCACGCTGATGTGACCTCTCTTTCACAGGACTTCAACCGACACCTGGACACACTCACCGAGCACTATGACATTCCTAAAGTCAGCTGGACCAAGTAACTTGCCCCTGGTGCAAAAGACAGGTCAGGTTGGCTGTTTTGCTCACCTCAGTGTTTTCTAGAATGCCCTACACCTGCCTGGTACATGTGCTGAAACCAGACTTTCTGAAACTTGATTAAAGTCAGGCTGTCCTTTCACTGGGTATACCCTTTTCCATTTGGACTGCAACATTGTGCTTTGACAGGCTCGGGTCTTTTCTGGGTTAGGTCCATGGAAGGAGGGTACCCTTCCCACCCTGATTGTGGCATCTGTCTTCATCTGCACCATAATGCCAGGACAGGAAGCTCCTACCTGTGGCCCACCACACAAGGTCCCGCAGTGCTGCTGCTTTTGGGCCACCTGGACATCAGACCACACAGCCTACATTGAGCAACAGCCACCTGAAGCAAGGATGGGACACAGGTCACCAGCACATACCCTGCCCCTCAATCCACCTGGTGGCTGCCATTGCAGACATTGCTAATCAATCCAGTTTTCAATGATGGCACCTGGGGCTCCAAGCATATGGCACATGTCATAAGCCTGCTTGGCATTCCTGGCTTAAGGATACCAAATACAAGACAATGCCAGGGCAAAGTGCCAGCAGACCTGGTGTGGTGGGAGGGCCCTGGTGCAGATTCTGTAGAGCTTTGTCATCTGAGAGTCTAGGTGAACCTCTTGGAGAACCTGTGCACACACTGTTGAGAGAAGCAACTTCTGTTACCATGGATACTGAAAGGCTACCAGGAATCCCTGGAGCTGGCATGTAGAATAAAGCAAGTGTCAGTCATGAAGTGGAGTCAGTGTGTCTGTGCATGCTGTTCACCACGGGGACACCTTTCCATTCTGCCCTGAGAAGAAGGCACAGCACAAAACTGCTCATGGGGGAAATGAGATGCTTCTGTTTTTTAATGATGTGTGTGTTATGTGTTGTATATGCACATGTGTAGAGAACAGCTTGAAGGATTGTCTTTCCTTCTACCTTGTGGATCCTGGGGGGATTGGATCTACCTCAGGTTGTGAGACTTAGCTGTAGGTGCCTTTACCCACTGATAAATCATGTAACTCTCATAGTCCAGTTGACACATTTATTCTACCTGTGTTCCTGCCTGAGGGAGATGCATATAGGGTGTACGTGCCTTGTCTCAAGGGTCTAGGACCATTTTGGATTTGGAATTTTTCTGGATTTGAGCAACACTAATTTTGTGATATGTAATGAGATATTACAGTGATTGTCACAGGTTTGCATACATTTCATTTGTTTTATTTGTACCTATGCATATAGCCTGAGGTCATTTTATATGAATTTTTCTGCCTTTGAACATAGTATACAAAATATACAATCTTGAAGAATTTTGTGCATGAGACAATTTAGTGGTGTGAGATTTAATTATTTGGGTTTTTTGTTGTTTTGATGTATGTGGGGTGTTGAGATTGGGTCTCACTGTGCATGCAACCTTGATTGGCCTAAAATACTCTAGATCAGGCTGTTAGATTCCCCTGCTTCTACCTCTGGAGTGGTAGGATTGACGGTGTGCATCACCACGCTTGCTTTACCTAGGTTCTATAGCCCAGGCTGCAAACCTGCAGCCTACCAGGAGTTTGGCAAGATGGCTCAGCAGATAAAGGCTCTTGCCACCAAGCCTGAAGACCTGTTTTGAGTCCCAGGATCCACAATGGTAGGAGGAAAGAACTGACTTCCATGCGTGTTCTGAATTCCACGTGCTCACACACAATAAATGTTTAAAAAATAAAGAAGGGAGGGAGTAATAAGGAAATGGGCTAGAATGATCAAAATAAAAATATGAAATTGACAAAGGATATATTAAAAAAAATTTGGTTTTGGTTTTTTGAGACAGTTTTTCTGTGTAACTTTGGAGCCTGTCCTGTAACTCGTTCTGTAGACCAGGCTGGCCTCGGACTCACAGAGATCCTTATCTTCTGCCTCCCAAGTGCTGGGATAAAAGGCATGTGCCACCACCAGCACATAAATTTTTAAAAAATTTAAACTTTGTCTTACTGTATGTAACTCTGACTGGTCTGGGACACAGAGATCTGCCTGCCTTGGCCTTCCAAGTGCTGGGATTGAAGGTACATGCTACCATGCCTCACTAAAACATTACTTAAAAAACAACTTATTTAAAATTGTGTGTCCATGTTCCGTTGTGTGTAGAGTGCAGGTGTTCACAGAGGCATCAGATCACCTGGAACTGGAGTTCCAGACATTATGTGAGTGTTGGGAACAGAGAGGTCTTGTTGGTTAAGAGTGAGTTCTTCTCCAGTCGTGAAATTAACTTTTTGAAACCTGAGGGGGGTCCTGCAAGTAAAGACTGCTGCCGAAATTGATGACCCGAGTGTGATCTCTGGGACCCACGTGCTGAAAGGAGAGAACTGACCCTTGCAAGTTGTCCTCTGACCTCCCAGTGTGTATAGGAACATACACGCACAAAGAAGAAACCCACGGTGGTGCGGGGGGGGGGGGGGGGGGGGGGGGGGGGGGGTTGAGGTTTGATCTCCCGTCGGGAGAGGGACAGTTAAGAATGACAGAGTTAAAAGGAAATGGGGTCATCGTCATACTCTGCACAAGGCACAGTGGCTGAATAACACACGTGCTAGTCACCTGGGTTCATTGACACTGACAGGTGACTGCTGATAACGTTTGATTGCCTTTCAGAGACTGACTTCCTTTAGTCGCCACCTTACAGCGAATAACAGCTGGTGGCCGGATACTAGTTTGCTAGACTTGTGCCGAATGCAAGGGTGACCCAAATCGGTTTCGCTTTCGGCGTCTTCCCACAGCAGCGGATTTAAAAGCGTGGGATTTAAAACCTTCCTTCCAGCCTGCCAGCCACTGGAGTGATGATACAATTGCCCCGCCCAGGCCCCTCCTACCAGGGAGGCCCCGCCCACCAGACTTACTTCCGGCCCGTTTCGGCTGTGGATAAAAAATACTGCCACAAAGTTCGTACTGCGCCTGCACCTATTCTGTTGCGCACCTGCGCACTCGCTGCTTGCCCCTCAGACCGGACATAACGGTCCGCGCGCTGCTTCATGGACCGGAAGTGGGGGGAAGTGTCGCGGGGCGCGCCGGGCCTTGCTGAACGCCGGCAGTTCCTGCCGTTGCCGCCGCCCTCGGCTGTTGCCGAGGCCTTCCTAAGCAGCCATGTCCGCCAGCGCCGTCTACGTACTGGACCTGAAAGGCAAGGTACTGAAGGACTCTCCACCCTCTCCGTTGCCAGGCAACAGCGGGGCCCTCGCCCTGTCGGGACCCACCCTGTTGCTAGGTAACTGGACGGCCTGCTCTGCCAGAGTCAGGCAGGCGGGGCAGCCTCGCTTGCCGGTCCGCCCTGTTGCTAGGAAACGGCCGGTGGTCTTTGCGCGTCCCGCCCCATCTCTAGCTTACTTGGTGGGCTATGGTTGCTAGGTAACCATCCACTTTGCCCCTTTCCCGCCTCGTGCGCCCGGTTACTGGGCTTGGCCTCTGCCGTCGACCGGAAGCTAAGGACCCCGCGCCCCCAGACCGGGCGACCCTTGGCCGGAGGCGTGGCGGGAACTGTGTCCTCAGGTCGGCCCCTCCCTCCGCAGCATGCAGACTTCAGCGCTTTCTCCCTAGAGCAGCTACGCTTCCTGTGACTTTGAGTTAAGAGAAATGGGTGATGTGATAGGAATGCGGTTTTACCAAGGGGGAAACAGACCGCCCACAGTCCCACTGACTATTGGGAAGTAGCCGTCTGAAAGTCCCATCCCAAGCATCCTTGCTTTCATCTGATGCTTTCAGAGAAACCAGGCAGGGTGCTAAGCTCTGGTGGGCAAGAATCCGTCACGGCTAAGCTCAGTCACCTGGAAAAGCACAGATAAATAAATGACTGTTGGAACCATGTGTTCATAAAGGACTGGCAGCCCCAGCTGGGGAGTCAGAGAGAGCTTTCCTGACAGGGGAAAAACAAGACTGCTGAGACTTTAAGGCCCTGGACAGAAATAGGACCCAGGCATCTTCCCGAGGGGAATCTGAGAAAGAAAACTTCATTCATGTATGTTTGTGCGGGTTTGCCCATGTGTGTGGGGGGGTGAGACCCTACAACCCTTCCATGGGCTCTTGTTATCAAACCCAGTCACTAGACCAATTCAGCGGGACCTGCCTGGCCTTTAAGCCACATGGATCTGCCTGTCTGTACTTCCCAGGCGCACCTGGCTAACCCCCACCTCTTGGTTTTATAAGACAAGTTTCTTTGTGTAGCCCAGGCTGTCCTGAGCACACTGTAGATCAGGCTGGCATTCACCTCAGATAGGCTTGCCTCTGCCTCAGGAATTGAAGGTGTCATGCACCTGGCTGTTTTGCATGGGATCTGGGTATGGCTCATTTATGGTTTTGTGACACTGAGGACATAACCCAGTGCCTCGCGTCTCTTCAGGGACCACAGTGCACAGTGCAAAAGCCTCTCACAGGAATGTATGTTCAGCCTTCAGAAATGGGCCATCACTGTCCATCAGTTCATCAAGGTCAAAAGCAAGTGACCAGCCTCTTAGGTTTGGAAGCTACCAGAACAGGTCCAGCCACAATAGACACATTTAGCATTCATCGGTGAGAGAACATTGGTGTCCAGCCCACATGGAAGAGCTGAGGTGTTCAGAAGTAGAGGTGGAGTGCCCCAGCCCCAGTGTTTTCCTTAGCCCTTGAATGTGTGCCTGCCTTGGATGCCACCCAAGGTCAACAACTGGAGTCCCAGAAGTCCCAGATCTGGACTGCCTCCATAGCCTTCTGGGAACCTGGGGAGTCTAGGCCTTATGGCACATGCTCTGCCTTCTGCCCTGTCCTAGAGGTACAATGGGCTGCCTGGCATGACTTGCTTGTTCCTTTAGCCAACACCTCATTGGCACCTAGCAGGCTGAAGCTGTAAAGCTAGACTCGTGTATGGGCTCAGTCAATCTCTGCAGCTGAGGTGTGTGACCATAGACAAACCCATGGCCTCTCTGAGCTTTGTCTTCCTGGCTGATTCAAAGAGTCTTATCTAGGTGACTATAGGTGTGATTCAGGCCTGACCCTGCTCAAGGCTTATAGAGTGTGGTATTTAGGCTCCACCGGCCTATTGGCTTAGCAGGAAACAGACCAGCAGCCAAAGGGTTGCTTGCCTTCTGTTTGGCAATCAGAGAAATTACAAAAGACTTCCAGGCAGAGCTGGGCACCTGAGCTAGTTCTGAGGAGGTGACAGGTGTTCCAGTTGGCATGTAGAGTATAAGGCAGCCCACAGACTAGTGGTAGCACACTAGGGTTCCAATGGGAGGAGACCCCAGGATGAGGTGTGAGCAGACCTGCCTCTGGAAAGCTCCCCAAGTAGGCTATAGACCTCCCTGCCTCCTTCCAAAATGAAGACAGTCTCATGACAATGTGCCAGGCTGAGTCTCTGATTACCAAGGGATCTCTTGTGGCCACCTTTGGCAAGTAGGAGGTCCTTCAAGAATGCTTGGCTGCTGTCTATTGTTTCCCCAGCCACCCCATAGCTTCCCTGCTTTGCGGCGTATCCCTGGTGACTGTAGGTCTGGAATGCTGAACTCTATGGTTTCCCCTCCTTCTTCTCAATGCTCTTCTTCTGGACACTGGAAACAAAACCCCAGGCTGTTCCCTGTGTAGTCTGAGATTTTGTAGTTCCCCAGCCCAGTGGTCCTGGCTCATCCCACTTCAGCCAGTGGAGAACCTGACAGGTCCCTGGACATTCTGCTTCTGCCTCGGAGCCTTTGTCACTTGCTCCTGTGGAGAGCTGTGGGCCTGACTTCAGTTCAGACAGTGCCTCCTCCA